AATCGTTAATAGAAAAAGTACCCAAAGCAAAACATTTAGATTTTGGAACAGATGCTTCATTTACACAGAGAAAGCACAAAGCGGGTTCAAGCAGGCGATGCTCTTCCGTGCTCAGAACCCTACAAGTTGGAAGAGGGAGCCTGTTTGGGGTGTCTGGAAATGGAAGCGAGCAACTAATTGGCCTTTAGGGCCCTGCTGGGATTGGGGCCAGTTTAGAAGGCAGCAAAGGCAGAAGGCAGAGTGATGCTCTTACCGGCTCCCAGCGTTAAACAATGGCCAGCCTTGTATCCCTGAGCATCCTAATATTCAAAGCTTTTCATAGCTTACCTAAAATAATAATCAAACATTTAAGCATGGTAGCCATTGCCTGAGAGAGTTTGCAATTTGGCTAATCCACCTGCTATTATTTTTTTCCTCTTGTAAATGCTCCTTCTTGCATTCAGCAAATAATTGCTCAGAGACAGGGCCTTTGCTGGTCTGTCCCCATGATACGGACTCACGGCTGAGTGGTCCCCAGCTCCTCCTTTCAAAGATCACAAAGTTCTCTGTCCTTCTTCTCTTGCAGGCTACCCGTTCAATGATGTCTGCCAATGGTTCATCGATCGAGCCGATCTCATCTTCGTGGTGTTTGATCCAACAAAACTGGACGTGGGGCTGGAACTGGAGATGCTTTTCCGCCAGCTGAAGGGGCGGGAGTCCCAGATCAGGATCATTCTGAACAAGGCGGACAGCCTGGCTACTCAAGAGCTCATGCGGGTGTACGGTGCCTTGTTCTGGAGCCTGGCCCCCCTCATTAACGTTACTGAGCCTCCTCGGGTTTACGTCAGCTCCTTTTGGCCCCTGGAATACCAGGCTGAAACCCACCGCGACCTCTTCTCGAAGGAGGAGATCTCCCTTCTGGAAGACCTGAACCAGGTGATTGAGAACCGGCTGGAAAACAAGATTGCCTTCATCCGCCAACATGCCATCCGGGTTCGCATCCACGCGCTTTTGGTTGATCGCTACTTGCAGACCTATAAGGACAAAATGACCTTCTTCAGTGACGGAGAGCTGGTGTTCAGAGACATCGTGGAGGATCCAGACAAGTTCTACATCTTTAAATCAATCCTGGCCAAGACCAACGTTAGCAAGTTTGATCTGCCCAACCGTGAGGCCTACAAGGACTTCTTTGGGGTTAACCCTATTCAGAGCTTCAAGCTGCTTGCGCAGCAGTGCTCCTACATGGGAGGTTGCTTCCTGGAGAAGATCGAGAGGGCCATCACCCACGAGCTGCCTGACCTGCTCGGGAGCATCGGCCTGGGGAAGAAGCCTGGCACCCTCTCCTGTGACACAACCGGCTGTGGGGAAACTCCAAAGAACCGCTACAAGAAGCACTAACAGGCTGCCAGCGTGACCCTCTTGCGCCCCAGTTGATGAATGAGCTTATGTCTTATCTGTCCAAGAAGCCAAGGTCTGTTAGCCCTTTGCGGGCCACAGAGCAAGCGGCTGGTGTCATAATAGCAGGGAAGTTGGGTGGGCCTAGTAAAGAGAATAAAGCACTGCGAATACCTGCCACGATTTAATCTTTGTTACTTAAAAAAGAGGCAATGTGTCAAGGAGAGGTAAAATTGGCAAAGGCCTTGCATATGCTAAGCAAGACGGAAGGACCAGAATGTTGACAGAACGCCAAAAAGGCCTCCTGACAACCAGGGGAAGCCAAACATGGCCCCTCCCTCATAACCTCTGGCTGCATTACATGGAGTTGAGGAACACAGGATTCTTGCACACAATCAGTTTGACTTGCAGGAGCTGCAATTTAACCAGACACAAAAAGCAATGGAGCAGCTGGCCAAGGAGACCTTATGAAAATTGGCAAAGGGAAGGTCTCTGCTTGCCCTGGGTTGCCAGCTCCCCCTCCTCCTCCTCACCACTCTAAGTTAGCTCCTCTTCTCAGCAGTGGTTTCCCATCTTGGTGTGTTTTTTCTGAATTGTTTGGAGAACTCTCCAAAGCAATTCTGTCTTCTAGGCAATGTTTCAGCTGAAAGAAATGCTTTCACCACCGATTCCCCCAGTGAATGGGGCCTGTTCCCCGAGAAAGCAGGATGCCCTTTCCTTCCTTGCCTACTTTATAGCCTTGATTTTTTATATATATATATATATATATTTCCTTTAGCCTTCTGTTCTCAGGCTTGCTGGATTCCCCTAATATCCCTTCTGCTGTTCCTTTCACACATCCATGTTTTGCAAGTCATACAGAATGAAAAGTTTCTGCAACTGTGTACTTGAAATGATTTGCCCAGTTTGGAGCACCCATTGAACTCAGGCTGCAGTGTGAAACCTCATCTGTTACACTGAGTTGGGGGCTAGGAAGTAGGGCGAGTCTGGAGGGGCGGTGTAGATTGTCCTGTCCTTGGCAATGCCGAAAGGGAGGGAATGGAAATGCATGGTTTGCTGGGCAGGAGGGCTTTGGCAGAGAAGATGTATGGGGGTGGGGGGGGCAGGTGCCTTGGTTCGGTTGCGAGGAGAACCCTGCAAAACCACTAAACCTTCCTAGGAGTCCCGAGCCCTGGCCTTGCCAGTCGTGTTCCTTAAAAGCTGACTTGTGCCTGTGCTGTGTTAACAGAGCCTGGGATTGCTTGGCAACCACGTGGACCTCCACAATGGAAACACAAAATATCTCAGAAGGGAATTGATTCTGGATCTGGAGGCATCCACCCTCTGCCCACTTACCTGGGGCTGTGACCTGAGAACAGCCGGCTAATCCAATGTGACCACCTCTCCCTTCCTGCCTTGGGAATTTGTGCTCTTGTGGTCCACGGATGTTCAGTGGAGGAAGCCTGAGCATCCTCCCCCTTTGGTAAAATGCCAGACCCAAACCATCCACCCATGGTTATGTGCTTCTTTTGACCAGAATTGTGGACAGATGTATTTAAAGGAATTACATAGCTGTGTAATACATTTCAGTGGCTGGCAGTAATAGTCTATATTTGGAGACACTATGTACTTCAGCCCTTCTAATAAATTCTGGTATTTTTCAGCCACATTTCTTGGTGTGTTGCCTCTCTTTCTGAGTGGAAAGGATAAAACCGAGAGAGGCCAAGGAAGATGGCCAACAGGGGCTTTTCCACGGCTGATCCACCCAGCAGCATTCATTGCTGGGGCTTCTTTCCACAGCCCTCTGGTTGACAGCAGGGCCTGTGCAAGTAAGTGCCGCTGCTTCAGAGGAGTGCAAAAGCTTTGCTTGGAATAAGGCACTTTCACAATAAGCAGGGCAAAACGGAATCACCTTCCAAAATGAATGGTTCCCTTCTTTTTCCCTCCATGCCTGGATTTACTAGATGACTTCATCACTGGCAGGGACATTTCTGTGTGTGGAAAATACCCATAGGCCAGGCAGGAGAGTCAAGGCTATGCTTCTGAGGAGGTGCGTATGAAGGGGGTAGGTGGCTGGAGTCAGGAAGCATCTCCAGCAGAAAAGCTGGGTTTCTAACCCAGCCTTTTCATTTTTTTCCATGCTCAATCCCTCCCCCCACTTCCTCTGCCTTCTCTGATCACAAAACCACTTTTTTGTCCAGCTAAAACTGGTGACAGAGGAGGAAATGCCCACAGGATGCAAGTTAGTTACCTCGGCATCAGGAGATCTGCCCCCCCCCCCATTTTTTTCCCAATAGAAATGATTGATTTCCAAAATTAAGATGCTTCTAAGCATCTCTTGGGGGCAGCATCTCTGCCCAGCCATTGCTGAGAGGGAAACGGAGAGTTCTGTTATCCAAGGATGCTCAGAGGACTCTCAAAAGATCCCATAGGTGGGCACCCAACTTTGGCACGACTGTGGTTTGTGTGTTGCTGAGATTAACTAAGCCATTTCCCCCTTGAGGAAGTCATTTGGTCGAGTATTGAAGCTGCTTTCAGGAAGTGGCTAGACCACAGTGAGGCTCCGCAGAGGTGCTTTCGCTCCCCTTGCTTGGAATGTGTTTGGATGGCTTGGAAGGGCAAAGGGCTGGGAGTTCAGCTTCCTAATTTTTTGCTGCAGACTTGGCTCTGATGTGCGATAGGCAGCATCCGATGCGGCAGCTGCCTCTCTTCCCATTTCCCAGACTCCCTCTGGAGCTACTTGAGAAGCCGCCCGGTAGTTTTGATCCACAAATCCCCCAACAGCTTCAGGCGAAGTCTGCCGAAGCAGCCTTTCCTTCCCGACGCGCTTCTTGCTGCGCAGCCTTCAGAGCAACCCAATTCTGCCTTTTGCTGCTCTCAGAAGTGGGCCCCGGCATGACTTGTATGGCCGGCGCCCCTTCCCAAGGCGGCCAGAGGAGCAGCGCCCCTTTCTCTCGGCCCCCTCCTCCCGCACTGCCAGAAGGCCAAAGGGGTGTGTGTGGGGGGGGGGGCTTTTCTTTTAAAGGCCCCTTTTAAGGCGCGAAGGGCCGGCAGCAGAGGCGGCTCCTCCGGCGGCAGCGCAGCAGCAGAGAAGCTCCGCCCGCCGCTCCCAGACTTCCCACCGGAGGGAGTTCAGGAGCCGCCGGGGCCGCCCTCGCCTCCTCCCAGCAGCCGGAGCCTCGGACCGAGCAGGCCCTTCAGCGAGGGAAGGTCCCAGGCGGCGGGCGGGACCGGCGGGGGCCCGCAGCCGGGCGATCGGGGGCGGGGAGAGGGCTGGTCGGTCGTCCCCACCCCCACGGCGCTCGCGGGAGGCGGACGAGGGCTACGGCTGCGCACTTGGTCCCCGCTGCGCGTGCGCAGACCGCGTCCCCGGACGTCTCCCGCACCGCGCGCAGGCGCTCCTCGTCCCGCGCTCCAGTGACAGCAGCCTCGGCGCCGCCGCCGCCCCTCCCCCTCCTTCGACGCGGCCCGTGAGGCGTTTCCAGGCAGGCAGGCGGCGAGGGCGGGGGAGGGGAGCAGCCGGGCGGGGGGCTCCGGCGCGGCGCCATGCGGCGGAGCCCGGCGAGGCCCGGCGGGAGCAGCGGGAGGCCGGGCCTGAGAGGCGGCGGCGGCGGCGGCGGGTTGGGCTGAGCGGCGCCGGGTGAGGCGAGGCGGGCGGGGCCATGGCGGCGGTGGCGGCCGCCGGCTCCCCGCCGCGTGGCACCGAGGTGAGCGTGGCCGGGGGCGGCGGGCGCGTGGCGGTGCGGCTGCAGGCGGCGGCGGCGGGGCGGGGGCGCGGGCGGCGGGGGCGCGCGCGGGCGGCGCTGGGCCCGGGGCTGGGGCTGGGGCTGGGGGCCGGGCGGGCGCCGCAGCTCTTCGAGCGCGCCTCGTCGCGCTGGTGGGACCCGCGCTTCGACTCGAGCAACCTGGAGCAGGCCTGCCGCGAGCGCCGCTTCCCGCAGACGCGGCGCCGGCTCCGCTACGCGCTCTGCTACCTGGGCGCGGCGGCGCTGCTGTGGGGCGCCTACCTGGGCTGGCGGCGGGGCGGGGGCGGGGCGGCGGCGGCGGCGGGGGTGGCGCTGGCCTTCCTGGCCGCCTGCCTGGCCGCGCTTCTCTTCACCTTCACGCGCGCCTACGGCCGCCACCCGGCCGGCTCGTCGCTGGCGCTGACCCTCCTGGTGCTGGCCCTCCCGCTGGCCACGCAGCTGCCGACGGCGCCCGGGCCCGGCGCGGGGGGCAACGGGAGCGCGCGCGCCGCGCCCCCGCCCTGCCTGTCCCCGGTGGGCAGCTTCTCGCTGTGCGTGGCCGCGCTGCTCCTGCTCTACGCCGTGCCGCACCTGCCGCTCTACCTGAGCCTGCTGTTTGGACTGGGCGGTTCGGCGCTCTTCGAGGCGCTGGGCTACGGCTTCCGCGACGAGCGCTGCTTCGCGCGCCCGCCGGGCCAGCGGCTGGCCCCCTGGGAGCTCCTGGGCAAGGCCCTGCTGCACCTCTGCATCCACGCCACCGGCGTTCACCTCTTCATCATGTCGGAGGTGCGGTCCAGGAGCACCTTCCTCAAGGTGGGGCAGTCCATCATGCACGGGAAGGACCTGGAGGTGGAGAAGGCCTTGAAGGAGCGCATGATCCACTCGGTCATGCCCAGGATCATCGCCGACGACCTGATGAAGCAGGGGGATGAGGACAGCGAGAACTCCTCCGTCAAACGCCATTCTGCCTCCAGCCCCAAAAGTAGGAAGAAGAAACCATCTATTCAGAAGACCCCCATTGTCTTTCGCCCCTTCAAGATGCAGCAGATAGAACAAGTCAGTATTTTGTTTGCCGATATTGTAGGCTTTACCAAAATGAGTGCCAACAAATCTGCGCATGCCTTGGTGGGGCTTTTGAACGACCTCTTTGGCCGCTTCGATCGCCTCTGCGAGGACACCAAGTGCGAGAAGATAAGCACTTTGGGGGACTGCTACTACTGTGTGGCAGGGTGTCCCGAGCCCCGAGCGGATCACGCTTACTGTTGCATCGAGATGGGCTTGGGCATGATCAAAGCCATTGAGCAGTTTTGCCAAGAGAAGAAGGAGATGGTGAATATGAGGGTTGGCGTACACACCGGAACAGTCCTTTGTGGCATTTTGGGAATGAGGAGGTTTAAGTTTGATGTCTGGTCCAATGATGTCAATTTAGCTAACTTAATGGAACAACTGGGTGTCGCTGGAAAGGTCCATATTTCAGAGGCTACTGCAAAATACTTGGATGATCGCTACGAAATGGAGGATGGAAAGGTGATGGAGCGTGTGGGCCAGAGCGTGGTAGCAGACCAGCTGAAAGGTATTTCTCTCATTTTTGCCTGTGAATAAGTTGATTTGTTTTGGAAGTTAACCTTTTCCTTCTCTTGTGCTAATGTGAGCAAATTTGGATCAATTTCATATTTTACGTGAAACCTGCCATGTAAACGTGGTGCCTCGGCCCTTCCTGGTTCTTGAAGAGATACTAAAGATGAGGGAGGTATGCATTGTAGCTGCAATGTCTTTTGGTTTCCAAGTGGAATTTTAATTAACTGATTATTTTATAGTTTGTGACATGTGATTTAACACTAAAATGTACACTTCCATAATAAAAATATACTTTTATTGCTATTCAGGTAAGTCACATGATGTTTGGTAAAAAGAAATTATCACTTTGGAAGGAAAAAAACCCTACAGTATTTTGGAGGACAGTTAAGATAGCTCTTCCATAAGATGGTTGAGCAAGGAAAAAAGTTGCTTTTGATACCAGCTTTTTGGGGGACAGTTTTTAGGATTCTATGAGTATTGTAAACTGCTAGAAGTTGGTATATAGTCCGCAGACTTTTTATTCTGCTGACCAACTTCTAGCAGTTTAGTATCAATTTTTATTAACGTCACAGACGAGGATTAGTAAAGGCATCTTAAATAAAAGAAAAGCACAGAGTATTGAGATAAATGTGAGTAGTGCGTGAGACTGGAGTAAAAGATGTTATAAAGTACACAAAAAACAGTTTTTCTTCAGCAGTGAGGCCCTATTTCCACACACTAAGGGAATGCTATGGATGTAATAGATTTAGATTTCAGTAAGGCATTGGATAGAGTACAAGACAGCCGGCTACTTGATAAGAGAGAACAGTATGGGACACGCTGTGCCATTACCAGATGGGTTTGCAATTGGCTGATCGACCACACTCAGCATGTGGTCTTTATGGAACGACATTGGTGTGGAGGGAAGCATGCAGTGGGATACCTCAAGGTTCTTTCTTGGGACCAGTGCTCTTCAGGGTCTTTAGAAATGACCCAGATGGGAGGATTGAAGGGACGCTCATCAATTTGCAGATGACACACAGCTGTTCCCAATTTGGTCTTTTTAGTTTGATCATTTGATACAAAAAGCCTTTTGGAAGTTAACATTCACAGTGACACTAAAACAGTGCTTTTAAGTAAAAGTAAAAACAAAATATGTACAGTTTTTAAAAATTTGAAAGTACTCATGGATTATATTTCACAATCCTACCCTGTTTCCCCCAAAATAAGACCTCCCCTGATAATAAGCCCAATCGGGCTTTTGAGTGCACGGCAATAAGGCCAAGCGCTTATTCCAGGTTTCAAAAAAATATAAGACAGGGTCTTATTTTCGGGGAAACGCGGTATTAAAAAAAAAGAATAGAAAAATAGCCAATGAGAAATCAATTACTACCCTAGTAGCTGGCCAAGCAATTTATAAAATGCAGATTTGTTGCTAAAAAGTGGATTTGGCTGTTTCCAAAGGAGAAATGAGTCATTTCTCTGCAGGCTGTGATGGCAAGGGATGTAGGATGGCCATCTGTAGTAAACAGCGTTTTGCAGAAAGGAGCTCTACAGGTAAGTTGGGGGAAGTGTATAGTGGAAGAATAACAACAGATATGTTAACTATAGTTTTCCTGTAGGTTTGAAAACATACTTGATCTCTGGCTTGAAAAAGAAGGAGACACATTGCAGCTGCTCAGAGACGCTCCTCCTTCCAGGTCTAGAAGCAGGAGATGGAAGCAAGTCACAGGGAACTTCATCGGAGAATGTGGATGATTTAGCAAAAACATTCAAGTACTTAGAAAAAAATAAGGTTTGAAAAATGCAAATTCTGTACATTTCTATGGATTTGTTTTTAGAAACCTATTTTCACAACCTACCCAAAATTGGAAGCTTTCATCTGCAGTTACTGATCCTCTAAGAAGGCAAATCATAAATTGGTTTATTTTTTTGCTCTGGAAGTCATAACACGAGAAGGTGTGGATTATGAGTTGGCTGTGAGGGTCTTGGTTTAAATCTCACATAGTTTAGGAGCCCTTGCGTCGTTAATTGCAGAAGTTGAAAAATGCTGCTCTAAGCACTTCTGAGAAAAAGCCAGCAAGCAGCTAGCATAAAGGGGCAAGGATCACGGTTGCCAGCCTTGGTAGAATGAGTGACACAAAATCATTAAATGCAAGTAAGAAAAAAGACCATAACTTTTTGGATGGGTCTGTTTTTGCAAAGGGTGTATAAAAGCATTTGTTCCAAAAACCAAGCATTTGCTTTTCTAATAATTGATTTAATCTGCTGATATGTACAAATTAGGTTGAGATATGAGATGGGGAAAAGACAGCTGCTAAATGCTAACTGTGTCTTCTCATGTGCATGATAACTTCTTTCAATGCCCAAGTGCCTCATTGTGTTCTGAAACATTTAAGGGAGGAAAAGTGTCACGTGCAGACTAGATAGCACCCCAGGAATTACACAAAATATGTGCCATTTTGAATAGCATACAGACACTGGCAGTAGAGGCAGGCCAGGGACGAAAGGAGCAATTCACCCTGTAGTATGTTTCTTTGTGGTTGCAGATCTGCCATTCGTGCAGTGTTACTTTTTCCCCTGGCTGTGCTGTGAGTGCAGAGGAAGGAACATTTCAAAATGGATGCCAGGAGGACCATAAGACCAGCACAAAGGTAATTTTTTTTTTTTAAATTTGATTTATATGCTGCCCTTCTCCGGAGACTCAGGGCGGCTTACAGTATGTTAAGCAATAGCCTTCATACTTTTGTATATTTATACAAAGTCAGCTTATTGCCCCCACAAACTGGGTCCTCATTTAACCTACCTTAGAAAGGATGGAAGGCTGAGTCAACCTTGAGCCTGGTAAGATTCGAACCTGCAGAAATTGCAGACAGCTGTGTTAATAACAGGGTGCATTAAACCACTGTACTACCAAGCCTCTTTTATTCTTCAAGTCACCTTCTTCTCTTCAACGGAACAGAAGCTGATGCAGGTCGGTCATGAGATGAGACAGAGTCAAATAGGGTGCAAGTAAAACTTTGGAATGAGATGGCCTTCAAGTGCTCGCCTAGGTGTTCTTGAGTGCAGATGGTTCCAAGCCCTTTTCTTATTCTCAGGAATCGTATGTATGAGATTTCTCCCTAGGATGATTTGAAGAGCACCGTGATGTACTGTTGGATATTTTTAAAAATTCCCTTTGCTATCTTGTAAGTTGGGCTGCTTATAGTGCGCTTCCCATTAATTAGGTTAGTGTAACTCCTTTTGTTTTAATTTTTCAGTGCTGTACAGGAATTCTTACAATTCTTCATTTTTTTAAAGAGTTTTGGAACTTCAGCCCCTGGTAATATGGCTGTTTTTAAGTTCCTAAATTTTTTAGCTTGAAACCCTGAAAAGGTTGTAAATTGTACTTTATTTAATTTTGGTTTAAAATGCATTTTCTACAGTTTTTTTAAAAATGTTAGTGTTTGCCTTTTCTAAAGATTGTTTTCTGAGCTAGAGAAAGCTGAATTCAGACTCCTGTTTGCTCAAGAGTGCTGAAATGCTGAAGGCCTTCTGGTCTGCCCTGATCAGAGGAAGCCCTGAAAATGGACCCAACTCTGCTACTTTAAAAAATGTGTATCTTATGTGAGCCCACCTTTGGGATTAGACATGGTGAAAATAAAATGATTCATGACATGATACAAATCTTTCTGCTGTTGTTAATTTAATCAGGTTTGTTAAAAACAACATCCTTAACAATTTATCGGCCTTACGTTTCTTTTTTTTTTCCTTGCAAGTGCTGTTTTATACATTCAAAAATAGAATAAAATCGTTGAACAGAGATGATTTTTCTACCACAGTATACTTGTAGAAACAGACAAGTATAATCTGAATTCTCTCTGACTTAATTATAAACTACTTCAATTTCTCTCTTTTTGTCCATTCAGAGTCCTGGGGGAGGCAGCCCAAAGTCTCGGAATGGACTTCTAAGTCCCCCACAAGAGGAAAAACTCAGCAACAGCCAAACGTCTCTTTATGAAATGTTGCAAGAGAAGGGAAGATGGGTTGGAGCAAGCTTGGATCATTCGGCTCTTCTGCCATTGCGGTTCAAAAATATCCGAGAAAAAACAGATGCTCACTTTGTTGATGTCATTAAAGAAGACAGGTCAGGCAAAGCATTCTCATCACTTGGACCTTTGCTCTCCATGGGGCTCCACAAGGTTCAGCAGATTGGGGGGAGATGGAGCGCTTCAAGACCCACCAGTCTGAGTGCCATTTGCTCAGCCCCTCCCTCTGCTTATCACTTCCTATGGAATAGAAAATTGCTGAACCAAACGGGCTTGATTTGCTCAATTTTTTATCAGTGTTTTCTTTTATCAGTCTAGTTCTCTTTAAAGTTGTATTGTGTCCAGGAAGGTTGAGTGTTAACCTGCAGCCTGTGAACAGACACGCTGCAGTTAAGTCAGCTAATCTCACCAATTCTTTTTTTTAACATGCACGAATGCCACTTTTCTGAGGCTTGGTGGAGTGCAGGGTCTCAGCATACAAACAGGAAGCCAACTTGTTGTGCATACTTGTTAAGTTGCAACGACGAGACCTCTGGCCCTGGCAAGGGGACTTTTCCTTATTTAATGGTGGTCTCATTTATGCAGTTTTTATGTTGACAGATAGAGTCTGGCTGAAATGCTTGGAAGAGATAAGTTCTGTGGTTTTTTTTCAACGAGCTGCTGATTGTCCTAATTTTTCTGTGCTGAGGATGAGTGATCTGTTTGCAACAATCAGAATAGGCACTTTGTGATCTGTGTGGTCTCATTCTTTGTTTGCCAACAAGTTTATGGCAGTGCTGAGATTAGAAGTTTATTCTTGGCTCCCACCTTAGACACAAAGCCCGTTGGATGACCTTGGGCCAGTCATTTTGTCACAGCCCTAGTAAGTAGGCATTGGCAAATAACTTCTGAAAAAATGGTTTGGCAATGTCAAGAAAATTACAGGGACTTGTCCAGGCAATCTCAGAATCAGACACAGTAGAGCAGAAGGAAAAGAAAATTATTCATGCAGTGTAGTTGACTGAGGTCCAGTCATTAAGCAGCAATTACTTTTTATTTGAAGAGTTAATACAGCACTCCTCTTTCCCCAAGCCCAATTAAGGATGGGCTAATAATTAAAGATGCCTGTGTTTCAGTGATCTGTCAAAGGAGGATGATTAATCATTATTTCTTTGTTGGAAAATAAACTTTCCTAAAATGAATGTTTTCCCTCAGCTTGATGAAAGACTATTTTTTTAAGCCACCCATTAACAAGTTGAGCCTGAACTTCCTTGAACATGATTTGGAGATGGCCTACCGGAGCAGCTACCAAGAAGAGGTAAGGTTTTGTGTGTGTGTATCTGTGTGCACACAGGCACATGCATGCTGATAGTATCTGAGGAACACTAACAAAATTCCAAAACAATGTATGTTTCTTTTAACTGTTCATGTTGACTGGGGAGAGATCAGTAATTGTTATGCTGCCTGTTTTCTACACTGATATTCCCTCTTTGAAAAAGAGAAGCTTGGTTGGCAGTTTGGCAGTTACTTTTGATTTAGGCTTTGTTTTAAATCATTTCAAGTGTGTTTTGTCTCTGCTTTTGCTATTGGTGAAGGGAAGTCTTTGAAAGAGAAACTGAAATTGCAGCATCCACAGCGTAGCAACTAGGCTCCTGTCTAGAGTCTCCAACCAGGAACATGTAATACCTGTTTTGATAAACTATGTTGGCTTGATGCTAAATTTAAGGAGCTTGCTTTTATGTACAAGCATTCACACCCTTCCTACTTGAACCATATAAATTAACAAATAAAACTTTTTTCTCTTCTAGCATTTTACTACTTTTATTTAAATAGGTATATGAAATTCTGGCAACGTATCTGATAAACTGCAGGAGACATACTACTCTTCAGGCCACTAAACTTCACATATAAATTTGGGCTCAAATTTGCAAGCTTCACCAAGAATGTTTTTATCGATTATTTATTTTACAGACCTTTGTCCTGGAAACAGTCCCTGTTGTGACTGCTTTAAACTTTAGTCCTGTATCACTTCTTCCTTTGTGTATCTATATTCACTAAGTCAGGTTTTTTTCCCTGTCATTCCATACAGAGTGGGCAAATGTGCACTGTTTGCATACGAAGATAATTAAAAGATAGGTGGTTAAAAACAGGGTCTATAGACTGGAAGGTCTGGTTATAAACTAAAATATCTCTCAGCTATCCGAAGTAACGATCCATGACTTTTATAATAACCTCATATCAAGGAGAAGTTATCTGATTTCTTCTAAAGTGGTTTTGAGAATAACTTCCTCTAAGAATCTAGATTCGGTTTGTTGTACTCACTTTTGCTGATTGTTTTCATTCTGGTGGTCAGAATCTGGTGATTCTGAAAACTGCTGCTGTATCTTAGTAATTTTTTTCTAAAATAGAGAGCAGAGAACCATTGTAAAGAGTGGAGGTCATCTCTGGATCAGATTCTGAAATCAAAGCGAAAAGTGTAGAGTTAGGTGACTTTTGATTTCCCTGCTTGGTGTTGGGTTCTGAAGAAGCTCCTGCGTGGCCAGCCAACTTCAACCTTTTCGTTCTCCCCAGGTTGTTAGAAGAGTCCCTGTGAAGACCTTCGCTAGCGCTACCTTCAGCTCCCTCCTGGACGTATGCCTATCCGCCACCGTCTTCCTCATCCTCTCCATCGCTTGCTTCCTGAAACATGGGGTGGTGGCCTCTCCTCCTCCTCCTGCAGCCGTGGCTGTGGCAGTAGTGGCCGTCTTGCTCGAGGTGGTCTCTCTTACCGTCTCCATCAGGTGAGCCAAACGCTGTGCTTGTCCTCCCTCCTTCAATATCAGGGCTTCCTTGTTGGATGCAGGTGACAGCAAATGCACACACCCCCCCCGGTGCAAAGGGAGGCTGTCCTGATTTTGGAAGGGGGGAAGCTCTGATGTCACTGATGGGCACTTGTGGTGGAGAAGCATTCTCCTGAGGCTAAGGGCAGGGAAAGCTCAGCAGCTGTCTCTACGGTTTCCAGGATGGCTTTCTTTCTGGAGGATATGATGGTCTGCACCAAGCGACTCTTGGAAGTGATTGCTGGGTGGCTGCCCCGACACTTCATCGGAGCCGTTTTGATCTCCCTGCCTGCTCTTGCGGTCTTCTCACACTTCACCTCTGAGTTTGGATCCAACCTCTATGTACGTTGGCCTCAGCACCAGCTCTTGGTGGGCAAGCAGAGTTTCCGAGTGAGAAAGCATGGGGGGGTGGGGATGTCTTTTACCCTACTTTCGGTCATTGGATGCTCTGGGTCTAAAATTATTATTTTTTTAAATTTGATTTATATGCCGCCCTTCTCCGGAGACTCAGGGCAGCTTACAATGCGTTAAGCAATAACCTTCATACTTTTGTATATTTATACAAAGTCAGCTTATTGCCCCCACAAACTGGGTCCTCAATTTACCTACCTTAGAAAGGATGGAAGGCTGAGTCATCCTTGAGCCTTGGCGAGATTCGAACTTGCAGTAATTGCAGGCAGCTGAATGTTAATAACAGGCTATTAGTCTGCTGCGCCACCAGGCTCTTCTGGTGCCAAATCACACGGAGAGACTTCTTGTCCAGGAGTGGAAACAGGTAGCCGGAATGGGCAGTGGCCCCCTTTGTTCATCCCAGTCAACTGGAGTACTCCCAAAGGGCTCCACTTCTCAGTCAGAGTTTTGCTCCCAGCGCTGGGAGCCTAGAGGAGGAGGGAGGGGGCGCTTCCCTCCTCCTCTAGGTTTATCTTCCACCCAAATTTGGTCTGCTGCAATTCCCTGGGCGACTACTGTCTAAGAAGCCAGTGGATTCTGAATCAGACTGCCTGCCTTTAGTGAACTTTTCCCTGGATTAGGTGATACTTCAGCCTGTGGTCTGACCACCCTAGGAATCTGCGTGGCAGAGCCACCCTGTTTCTGTCCTCCCAACTCATAATGAAATTAGGCATTTTCTGCCAGGCACAGAAGCAGACAGACCTTAAATACGACTTCAGTCAAATCCATGGAGGATGAAAGATTTCGTGACTGCTCTAATATTGTCGCTTATTTTAACTTTGGGATTTTTTTGAGGAAAGGTACAGCAGTTTTGCTCTAATTTGCTCCACTGTTCTAATATTTCTTTTGTTGCAGTCCACCATGTTTATGTGTTCTGCAGTTCTCATCACAATAGTCCAGTACTGTAACTTTTGTCAGCTCAGCTCCTGGATGAGATCCTCTTTGGCTACCCTTGTTGGGGGGGTCCTCCTCCTCCTCCTGTACGTGTCCTGGTGTCCTGACAGGTGAGTCAAGACAAACCACTGCAATCCTAATGAAGACCAGGCTGCCGTATCCAGGAAAGGTCCCAGGATGCTGGAATGAAGCCTGCTTGCTTCAAGAGAAGTGCCACAATGGTTGCCAGTTTTGCCTAGGAGTGTGGCTAAGCGATGGAGGAGAAAGTCTAAAGAGGGCTGGGGTGTGTATGCATCACAGGGATTAGCAATTTAGTGAGAGAAGAAGTCCTACTTTGTGACTACTGCCATGTGGTTGCCTTTGTTTTGGTCCAGACTGTTGGTTTGTTGATAATGTGAGTCCCTTATGTTTCTGTTTCAGCGTCTTGGAGGATTCAAACCTTGTTTCATTGAGGAACCTAAGGTATGTTTTTAAGAGCTATTGGACTTTATTGTGTCTCAGCCTCCAGTCTTTGGTGTATATTCTTTAAGGATCCAAACTGCTCTATTCTGCCAGCTGAGAGTCAGTATAGAAGTTGTGACCAAAATGAAAAAGATTTTGAAGAGGCTAAAATTTGGACTGTGAACCACAGGTTTCCTTTTTATGAATCTCAGAGTACTCTTTAAGTTCTGAAGCCGTGAGATCAGTGGTGGGTTTCTACTGGTTCGCCCTGGTTCGGACGATCCGGTAGTGGCGGCGGGAGGCTCTGCCCACCCGCCGGACATCATCATGGGCACTCTGCGCATGTGCAGAGTGCACACACGCATGCACTCACAGTTCCGAACCAGTAGCGAAGGTAAGTGGAACCCACTACTGCGTGAGATGGATTATTTCTAAGCACAATATTTTTATAGAGCAATAACATTATAAAGCCAGGTGCTCTTAAGGTGTCATGCCTATATATTCACAAGTCTCTCACTTGCAGTGTGGCCAGATGTGTCTCTTCTGTTAACTACTAAGAGAGAAGCTGTAATGATATGAGCTGTTGAACAGTTTCTATATGTATCAAGATACGTATCAAAATTGGATGTTCTTAACAATGAGTACATCACACATTTGATTTAAGGAAATTCTCTTTGGAGTTTGACTTGGAAAAAAATGTTGCATCAGGCTGGCCGTCCTCAGCCCACATGCCCAATGCCATTTCAGCATATCCCAGCTTCACATGTACCCTTTGTGCCAACACACAGAGCCTTTAAATGTTGATACATGTTCATGTAAAAACTAGATGATTATAATGATCACAGCACCTGTTTGAGATCCCAAACAGAATGATCTGAAGTTATCTTTAAAGAATGCATTATCTTTTTTGTTTTGTTCCTTCCCCAGCTTCATAGAGAATGTCTGCAACAGGTCTGCATCAGAGGACTTCAGTAGGCCGGCAGATCTGATTGGCCTGGAAGTGGTTTTAGGCCTCTTCCTTCTCCTTGTCTTAGTTTGGTTCTTAAATCGGGAGTTTGAGGTGAGTTACCGTCTCCATTATCATGGAGATGTGGAAGCTGATCTTCACCGTACCAAGATTCAAAGCATGAGGGACCAGGCGGACTGGCTCCTGCGGAACATCATTCCCTACCATGTGGCCGAGCAGCTGAAAGTGTCTCAAAGCTATTCCAAAAACCACGACAGCGGGGGTGTGATCTTTGCCAGCATTGTGAACTTCAGTGAGTTCTACGAGGAGAATTACGAAGGAGGCAAGGAATGTTACCGCGTCCTGAATGAACTGATTGGAGACTTTGATGAGCTGCTAAGCAAGCCTGATTACAGCAACATTGAGAAAATCAAAACCATCGGGGCCACCTACATGGCTGCCTCTGGGCTGAACGCTTCCCAGTGCCAGGACAGCAGTAACCCTCATGCCCATCTGCAGACGCTCTTTGAATTTGCCAAAGAAATGATGCGTGTGGTGGATGACTTTAACAACAACATGCTGTGGTTCAATTTTAAGTTGAGGATCGGCTTTAACCATGGCCCCCTGACAGCTGGGGTCATCGGCACCACCAAGCTCTTGTACGACATCTGGGGGGACACTGTGAACATAGCAAGCAGGATGGACACCACGGGAGTCGAGTGCCGGATCCAGGTGAGTGAGGAGAGTTACCGCATTCTTCACAAAATGGGCTATGACTTTGATTACCGTGGGACAGTCAATGTGAAGGGCAAAGGCCAAATGAAGACTTTCCTCTATCCCAAATGCATGGACAGTGGGGTGGTGCCCCACCATCAGTTGTCTATCTCTCCAGATATTCGGGTTCAAGTGGATGGCAGCATTGGGCGGTCTCCAACTGATGAGATCACCAACTTGGTGCCTTCTGTACAGAACTTGGACAAGATGCCTCCCGACATAGAGCTCAAAGATTTGCTTCCCCGCTTCAAGAAGTTTCCCAAAGAATTGGTTAAATTAGACAGTCGCCCTCAGTTTGGTGCAGCTGGTGAGAAGGGTGTCTGTGAGGAGGCTGGGCCAGGGGAGGTCAATGAACTGACCAAACTGAACAGCTCCCGGAGTGTGTGATGCCCATCGATTCTTCTCAGCGAGAAATCTGAGCTCTCTCCAACTGACCTTTTCTCTTGCACAGTGGGCTGACAGGAAATGACACAGCCTGGCTCAGTTGTTACCCGTTTCTTTGGGCACCTGAATTGGAGAGGATCGTAGCCATGCCAGGCTCTGGCCCCTCTTTTTCACTTCCCTTGAAATGTTTATTTTTTCCTGAGAGGAGACATCAAGTGCCTTCAGACAGACTCTGCTGGACTCCTCTCTGGACTGAGGAGGAGCGATATAGATTGGGGATTGGAACACATTTAAAGGACAAGCTGTGGTTGCTTCATTTTTGTTTCTCATCAACAGCTTCCTTTGCACCTCCAAGCAGAGTGAATAAATAGGTGTGAGTGTGTACAGCACTCATATTTTATATGTAAACACGGACAATTGCATGTTTGCCTACCTTCTGTGATCGACACTAAGAACTGCTCAAAGGAGATACCAGGGGCCGGAAGGAATGATCATCTTGGAACAGGGAGGAATGAGAAGATTTCATTTGGAGTTCAGTACTTACTAAAGAAGCAGCTGAGCTGTTGTTTGCCAAAATCAGATTAAAGTGCCATTGTGCTTTCTGGAACGCTGGACTTGCCGTTTCCCGGCAGATCAGAAGGGGGCAGGTAGTGTACAGCCCATCTTTCCCAGCCAGTCGGATTTGCTGGTGCCGCCAGTTTTGGTCCTGGTGGTTCTTCATTTTTCCTTTGCCAATTTAGGGGGCAGGTAGTAAGGCCTGACTTGGGCCTGCCTCACTTTATTTTCTGCTTTGGGGGCCCTGCTGGCCCCCATCAGTTTACCTGTCTACATGCAAAAGCCAGCCTGTCCCTCAGCAGAATTTGCCCCAAAGGTGATGATAATACCTCCAGGGGCATCTGGATTAACTCGTGCAGTATTTGAGTCATAACTGTGTGTCACAAGATGTCAAAACAAGCGGGAGTAAGATAAGACCTCAGCCATGTAGCCTTTTGCTGAGGAAATGATACACTCTTTTATTTGGCACAATATTTTTATTCCAGTATACTCTAGTGAAATATTGGTCCACCTAAAGAAAAGAAATTCAATCATAAATCTCTAATATTAATATGCAAAAATGAATAGGGACTGACTTACTTTTTTCCAAGCTCAAATAACCTGAAAATCAAAATGCTTTTAGGGTTAGACAAACTTGGGCTACTTTAAAAGTATTAAGTTTTAATGTATCATAGAACTCTCCTTTGGCACTTTTTCACCACCAGACTTGATGAAGCCTGAAGATGACAGAGTTCCCTCTTTTTGTGGGTCAGCTGATTCTGTTAAAACTAGAGTATAGGCTTTTTTCCTGCCAATTATTGAACGCATCCCAAGAATTTGTGGCCCAAGGAGCTTTTCTGTACCTCATTCTTTCTTTGAATCTACCATCACAGATGTGCCAAACAGCACTACAGTGCGCAAGCCCCTTTTCCAGCATGGGCTGAAGGCGCAGCAATGCAGGCTGCCCTCCACGCTTTTCAGGGAGGAAAACAGGGCTGTGTGCTTCGCAAAGCGCAATTACAAAGGCAACCTTTTTTTCTGCCTAGCATACTGTGGTTACATTCGTAAACACCAGGATTGGGAATTACCAGCAATGTACGCAATAGGTTATTAGGAGTAGGCTGCACTCATTTGGATGCATCTTCTTGCCTCCCTTTCAGTCGAGCTTCCAGAAAAATCAGTGTCAATTTATATTCTCTATAAATGAATAATCTGAGGTTACCCTTTGAATCCTAGTCTCTGTTTGAACTGCTGTTTTCCCTATGCTAAGTGGATCGTGCTTAATGCCAAGCCTCAGCAGGCAGACAGCTACTAGAAAGAACTTTTTTGGGTGGTGGCATTTTGCTTCAGGATCAAAAATAGCTATACTCCTTCGATTTCTTCCTGGGTTCTGCTCTCAGTATGGAGTAGATTGTTGATTGCCTAGGGTTTCCTGCCAAAAGGGACCTGCAGAGTTAAATTCAACCTTTTCAGATAAGAGCAGTAGCATTGCCTAGATTGCTGCTGAGAGTAGCTCTTTCTTGTGTCAAAAGTGCAGAAAGTTCTGAGTCTTTATTTTATTTACTTCAGTTCCAGACACCAGTGGTCTTGGAGAGGGAAAGAGCTTGGCCATTTTATGGTTCAGCAACTGTTGTGTTCAGTTAGCAAAGTAACCTGAAAAGTAAATTCCACAACCTCCTTTTGAAGAATGCAGCATGCTATCTTGAAGCTTTTATCTATGGCAAACAGGGTAGCTTGCTGGCCTAAGCCATCTTGGATCCTAGAAAGTATTTCTTGCTGTGACCAAATAACTGCTTCAACCAAGGTTAGTGGGGTATTCCAGCCCTTTCCCTGTCAGAAAGGTCCAGAAGACAAGTTAAACAGGCTTCCACAGACAGTTTTTATTCTAAAAGCTGTTCATGTTGCCACTATCTGCAGGTAACTAGATGGAAAGAAGGGTCCCTTGGGAAAATGGAGTAACTGTTGAGCATTTCAAGCATAGCAAAACAGCAACAAAAATTCTGAAAGAAGACAGGTTGTGGGTCCATCATGGTAGTTCAGAAGTTTTGAATAAGTGCTTTATTAAATGTGTATGTAAATAATACAACTCCAATACTGTGCAGTGTCCTGTATTTTGGTTTGGAATATTCTGAGATGAGAGAACTTGACAATATAATGGGAAATTGCAGGCTGATAGAAGAAATACACTGATGGACTAACAAGCAGCAAATTCCTGAAGGGTAGGAGGGACGGGTGGGATAGTAAGAGAAGCCAAGGTCTGGTGCCTTTTTGTAAGGAAACTCCTCACAGTTTAGGCTAGGCTGTACTGTAAAGTGGCTTAAGGAGACATCAAGGCCTGATGTGGAAAGAGAGACGGGAGACACTTGTACAGAAGAGGGCTAGGAAGGAGCTCTGCCTTGCTTTGCTGAAAGTGGAGTTTCATTAAAATTCTTGTCACTTACTGAAGTTAGATTCAGTCAAATCAAGGCAGTAAGTGCCTGTTTGGGAGTGGATCAAGCCTGCATCCTCTTCTGCTGACTGTAATCTCTTGATCAAAGTCTTTGCTTTTGACTTCCACAGCAAGCAATTTCCTCCTTGCCTGTCATCTGGGATTGTCTGGTTTGCTCCCTAGTAAATCCTGGCAGGAATAATAGTTTCTCCTTTTTCTCCATAACTTGCATTTCCTACAGAGCATCTGCTAGTTCTGAAGTGTGCAGGGATCACAATGGTGCCAGTGGGGCACTGTTCCCATTTTACAGAAACAATACCTCTAGAAGAGGCCACGGGACTATTGACCTCCGTGAGAAACTCCTGAGCACTGGAGAATTTGAGGGCTGCCCAAGTGTATGCTGGTTCTTCACTGCTACTGCCTCTCCTGTGCTGCTGATCCACATAGCAGGGAGGTTTGAGTATCTGCTCTCCTAGATCTCAGAAGCAAGATACACCAGATCATCTTAATCTGGACAGGAACATTTTATGTCTGATGGCTGGTTGGTGTGTTTTAGGAGTTTTCTGGGGCTGTTTCATCTTAGCAATAGGCCCTGGCAGATGCATTTTGTCCTGGGAAATAGGAAGTGGTGCATCTCCTTTGCCTCTGTCTTAAGTCTGGGCTATGCAACACCCTTGTCTGTCCTCAGTGTACACAAGAATTGATCCTTTGTCACTGTTGCCTCTTGTGCTGAATTAGGGGAAGAGCAAGAGATAAGCAATGAAACTTGAAGCCGCTTCATTGGCTTGAAATGTGTCTATGCTCAAACCATGTGCCTACATACAGTGAATTGGACTATTGTGTACTCAGGACAATTTCTTGGGTAAACATGATATAATTTATTAATTAATCTTCAGCTGGTTTGCAGGGTACATAAGGCTCAATAGTGCCATATGAACGCATCAGGGTTGTTGGGCTTCCCTTGAGCCAGGCTTTCCGAGGGAAGGCTCCTGAGCAACTGGGCTGGATTTTAAAATCCATTCCTTGGCATGGCCTTGACTCCTCTCAAGCCACTCCTGTGCTGGGGTGGCCCAGAGGTTAACTGACTGTCGGAAGTGTGGAGAGTATTGCCAGATGTGGGATGTAAATAGCCGCTGAGAATAGGCCTGACTGGCACCTGAGAGCAAAGGTGAAATGCTGCAAGATGAATGGGGAAGAACGGTAGAAACCTTTCTTTGTTACTTAGGCAATGTAATCAATTCTCTATTAAACTCTTCTGTATTGGATATGCAGGATCACTTCTTTGTTCATACACCGGATCCAGAGAGCAACCATACACAGCCCAATGTTTACTGTCAGGTGACTGCAGTAGAAATCATGAAAAGGGTAAATAGTGTTTCAAAGCCAGGAATTTATTCTTAGCACGAATCGATCTTGTCACAAAACTGGATCTTTCCAATCCTGTTCTCAACCATGATTCTTTGTTTCAGCTCAGAAGTTTTAGTACTGCTATTGTTGTATACATGGGGAAAAATAACCCTTACTAGGCTATTAAAATTACTTTAAACCCCGTTAGTAAAAACCACTCATAAGCTCTTCCCGTTCTCAGTCTACTTCAGCAACATTTAGGGACCAAGAATGATCTCATGTGATGTTGGGGAAACACACGTCAACAAAAGCTGAGGTTTAACTTCTTCATCTTCTGCAACCTCACTCTGAGCCTAACCTGAAACCACAGAGTTGCTCCTACTATGGAAAACACCAACTGAAATACATACTGTGTGCAAGACACACTGTTGCAAGCAGTGATGAGTTGTCTGCCAAAGAAATATTTATCTAGGAAAAATAAATCTGTGGTCCTTCAAAACAGGTGCAGATCTTTTTTTGGGGGGTGGGTAGGTGGGTGGGTGTATTGAATGGTACCCTCATACTTCTCTCTGGGCATTTAGGCAATGCTTATGAAGGCTGAGCAAAAGCTCTGCCAAGGCCAAGTTACAAAAGTTGCCAGGGTAAGAGAGCAGGGCTGGGCAAACTCAGTTGAAGAGGCAAGGCATGGATCTCATTCTTTGCAGAAGCAGCTTTTGGACCCTGTGCTCAAGCCACCAAAATGGGTCACAGTGATGGTGCCAGCAAGCCCAAAGGTCACAACTGCTGTAGCTATTGGACTGCCAGGCTTTCATCTTCTTCCAAAGTAAGATGGCAATCTCTCCGGGCATTTTTTGTGCTAGCCAAGGGGGCACAAGTCGATGTGGTTAATAGGCTAATGGGATAAAAAAGAAATATTCTGGGTTTGTGTGTACTGTGCAATAAACAGTAGAGTAACTGCAAACATGAGAATCTAGTACTTGCAAGCAGTCGACTTGCTGCAACTGGGAACTTTTTAAATAAGGCACTTGCTGTTCAAGGAGATCTAGGTCGCTTTCTGCCTTTTGGCTCGGTTTCAGGAAATGCCTCCAACCCTTTAAGAATTGCCAAGAAAGGTACCAAGCCCCTCTGCTCATTCCACCTTAGAAACATGGCAGCCCATGGCGGTTGAGCACCTGGCCATGGAGGTGCTGCTTTTTCTCTTAGTCACACTTGGTTACGACTCCAACCCTCTGCCACTGTAGCTATTGCACAGGAAGGCCTTCAGGCTGGCCGCTGAAGGTGGCACCCCTCCGGGCTCCAATGCTGTTCATTTCTACAGTGGCTGAGATACTTTCTCTGAAACTGCAGAGAAAATACATGATGTGCATGTCAGTGAAGCACACGCACAAGGGGAAAAGAGCTGTGTGCTCCTAACGGCACCCATGTTGGCCTTTCTTTTCTCCCCCCCCCCTCCCGGCCAGTAAAAAAGCACCCCTAAGGCTTCCTGTGGAAATTACAGAAAACGCCCCTTCTCTCTAGCTTGTGAACCAGCCCGGACTTTTGCATATCCTCTTTCCACAGCACACATCCAAGCCTGCTCGAGTTCAGCCAAACCCTCTTGTGAGAAGGAGAAGCAAAGAGAACTATAATCAACGTGCAGGTGACAGAAGTGCTTCCAATGGTCTCAGCAGTACCAACAGCCAGTTCATTCCCACCCAGAGTTCCCCCTCATGATTCCGGTTGGGAACTGGGTGCCAGTGGTCCAGGCTGTCCCCTCTTCTTGGGCAACAAATGGGCAATAGAAGGCTGGCCATCCTGTTCTTTCCTTACTGTCTTGTTCTCCGCAATGGTCCTTTATCCTGAATGCAGGTTTTAGGACGAAGAGCTGGTGGAGAGAAGAGTGAAGTGCCCTCAGCTGTGATGTCTTTATCCATTTGAAGAAACCTCCAGCCATCTCAGGAAAGCCAACCAGACTGCCACCCCTTACCATCCCTGCTAACCAAGGCAATGAGGGTCGACCAACCTGGATCAGCAACTCCCTTTTGCTTCTTTCTGGAAGAGGATATAAGCTGGCTCTCATTCGTCAGCCGCACATCCTGGTCCTCCATTTGGTTGCTGCTGAGCCAAAAGGATCAAAAAGGTCAGTGGACATCCTGAACGGTCAGAAGAAAGGTCGTTTTTGGAGTGGAACTATCTGCAAACCATACTTCCCTCCCTATTCAGTTCACAAATAATGGTCCTGCCCTCCCCACTACGCTGATTTGATGGGGACTGGGTGCCACTGTGGCTCTTCTCTTGTCCCCCCTGGGGGCACCCGCACCTCTACACCTAGGTCCTCGGTGGAAATCAGGAAAAGGACCATGGAGCTGAAAGAGCAGATGGGTTTGGCACAGGAAAATTCCTGAACCAAAGTGGCTTCCTACCACGGAAGCCTCTCTCACAGAAGCTCACATCAGATCATGCTTGTCAAATTACTTACCTATTGTTTGCTTTTATCTAATTGTCAGATGAAACATATGAGAGGCAGAATGTCTTTTTATGTTACTGATGTTTATTATTACTCGGATTGAAAGTAAACTGAAAATGATCAGAGGAAAATGATCACCTGCTCCCTAGAGAAAGAGTTACAAATGTACCCACACACCTAACCATGGTGCTCCTCTCCTGCCAGCAGATCTTCTCGTCCTCTGTGAAGAGGAAGGTGTGATGGGGAATGACAGGCTCACAGGTGGGAAGAATGCCAGGGACCAGGTGGCTCACCAGATCGAGAATGCCGTTGTATACCAGCAAATCGTCCACAAGGAGCTGGGTCCCAAAAACGGGGTAAAAAGTTTGAGGGTCTCATCATCACACAGAAATGAAGTCACTCTTTCTCTCTCTTGTTCTCTCTTCCCCCTCCCCTCTCTGAATGAATGCTGAATTAGAGGTTCAAGATGAGTTACTAAACAGGCACTTACTCCAAATTCCTTGACTCCTCGCTGGGGAGTTTTTGCATAATTCCATAGCTTGATCATGGAAATGGTAGTTGGCAAGTCAAAAATAATGTAAACTCGATTCACCTACCACCAGGAATGAAACAGAGAAGAAATTCTTTAATCAAGAGAAATAATCTCTGTGAGGACTATTTTAACTCCAGTGAGGATTATTTTAACTCCAACTGTTTTGTACATGTTTGAAACTAAATCTGATTAACAGATTAAAGTTGCTCTGAGCTGTGAAACTGGATGTGAGGAGAATGCTCTTCCTCCTCCCATTAGTGAAAGAAAAAGAAAAATGAGGCTGCCCATGACATCCCAGGAGTTGTTGCCCTTTAACAAGTAAACAAGTGTGGGGACGAAAGGAAACTTCTTTACTCAGAAGAAATAATACATAAGAATAACATTTGCGACAGGGGAAAATCGGGTTTTAGAATAGAAAATAGAAATTAAAATTTTTTTGCTACCGGGTTCTGTGGGCGTGGCTTGGTGGTGGTAGTGGTCATGTGACTGAGTGGGGGTGGCTGTGAGTGATGTCAAGTTGGTCATGTCCACTCAGTTACAGGAATGCTCCCCCACCCCCCACCCCAAGCCACACCCAGAGAATCGGTACGGAAAATTTTTAGATTTCACCACTGGACCAATCTCTTTTTCCCTTAAAGACTGCCCACTCCCAATATAGTATTTAGTATAGTATTTTTCCAAGCCCTGGAATGCTTCTTCCATAAAACTCAGAGGAAGCACCCAAATAAGGCAATTAGAGGCTCATCCATCAGCGGTTGGGACAGCTGTTCACCTGGTCTTTCAGACAGACTGTTAGGCAGTGCACATGACTGAATGCAAAAGGGAAGCATACCAGCCCTGGCAGAATTGGTGCAAGCCACATGTGCCTTCCATCACTGCTGTGATTCACACCGTCAATGAGCTTGTCTGGTGTTCGAATATCTCCACAGACTCCCTCCAGAACATTGACGCTGTCTGGAAAAGCTGCAATGTCTGAAAAAGGGCATCCATCAAGGAGAGCATCTGGCCTGGATAGTCTCCCAGCCCCATTGTGATGCAAAGTCCCACAGCCCCTGAGGCATCTGCAGAAGCAAACAAGGCTTGGGGTCCTGCCTAGCTCGCCTTCAACCTGAAGAGAAGCCTTTGAAGGCAGAGGAGGAAAAACTCCAGCTGCACCATAAAAGCGTCATGGCAGCAGCAGCAGGCAGGAAGATCACGCTCCTCTGTTCTTGCAGGGGCCCTGCTCTGGCCACCTTTCTCTGGCTTGGTTGTGAGCTACAGGGGAAGGGAGGCACCCTCAGAAATGGTTCTATTTACATGGCAGAAAGGATACTGTTCTGATTTAAAAGAATCTTCTCCCCGTGTTCATTATACAGCTCCAGCCCGTTTAAACCAATGTAATATGGATCACCCCAACTCGTGAGTAGCTGGAACTGGAAGATGACTGATGGAGGTTATTGAGAAAATATGTCTTTGTTAAAAGACTTCCACCCGACTTTCGTTCCTTGGGTACCCACAGCAGATGGCAAAAAGCCTAAGAACAAAAGCCAGCCTTGTGGAATGCAAAGGCCTCTGATGTCTGCAGTGAGGAGTCTGGCAAGGAGGGGCAGCTGGGCACTGACGGGAACCCAGGGAAGCTGGGAATCAAATGAGACATCCTTTAGGAGAGCAGCCTGCAGAGAACCCCCGAGCCCCCAGCGTCATCCAGCCCAGAAGTACAACTGCCAAGGCCAAAGCCAGCTCCACAGAGAAGGATACATCCACACGGCATCAGTGGTGCTTCGTACTCCATGCTACCTTGCTCCCTCTTCTTCATTTCACTCCTGTCCAGTGAGGATGGAGACTGTCACAGCACTGTGAGATGCCATCATTACTAGCCACAAACCCATTTTGAAATGAGCATTGTCATCCAGTGGAACAATCTTGTTGCCCAGACTCACCGCTCATGTGCCGGAGCAACT